TTCTAGAAGAAAACATAGGCAGTACGCTCTTCGACATCGGTCTTAGCAACATCTTTTCAAACACCATGTCTGACTGGGCAAGAGAAACAATAGAAAAAATAAACAAATGGGACTACATCAAACTAAAAAGCTTCTGCACAGCAAAGGAAACCATCAACAAAACGAAAAGAAATCTAACAACTGGGAGAAGATATTTGCAAACCATACATCTGATAAAGGATGAACAGAACTGAGAGCCCAGAAATGAACTCACACATTTATGGATAGCAAATTTTTGACAAAGTTGCTGAGAACATACAGTGGAGACGACAAGTCTCTTCACTAAATAGTGTTGGGAAAACTAGACAGCCACATGCAAAAGAATGAAAGTAGACCATACACAAAATTAACTCAAAACAGATTAAAGACTTGAATGTAAGACTTGAAACCATAAAACTCCTATAATAAAACACAGGCAGCACATTCTTTAATTGACATTGGTGCTGGTGGTATCTTTTTTAATATGTCTCCTCAGGCAAGGGAAAGAAAGGAAAAAATAAACAAATGCGATCACATCAAACTAAAAAGCTTCTGCATGGCCAAAGAAACCATCAACAAAAGAAAAAAAAACAACCTACCAATTTGAAGAAGATACTTGCAAATCATATATCCAATAAGGGGTTAATATCCAAAATATATAAAGAACTCACAAAACTCAAAAACAAAATACAAACAACCTGATTAAAAAATGGGCAGAGGATCTTAACAGACATTTTTCCAAAGAAGATATACAGATGGCCAATAGACACATGAAAAGATGTTCAACACCACCAATTACTAGGGAATTGCAAATCAAAACCACAATGAGATATCACCTCACACCTTTGAGAATGGCTATTACTAAAAAAACAAGAAATAGCAAGTGTTGAAGAGGATGTGGAGAAAAGGGAATCCTCATACACTGCAGGTGGGAATGTAAATTAATGCAGCCACCATGGAAAACAGTATGGAGATTCCTCCAAAAATTAAAAATAGAACTACCTGGTCCACTTCTGAATAGCCATCCAAAGAACACAAAAACGCTAAGATACATGCACCCCTCTGTTCATTGCAGCATTATTCACAACAGCCAAGACTTGGAACAGCCTAAGTGCCTATCAACAGATGAATTGATAAAGAAGATATGGTGTGTGTATATATAATGGAATACTACTAAGCCATAATAAAAAATGAAATCTTGCCATTTGCAACAATATGGATGGACCTTGAGGGCATTATGCTAAGATGAATAAATCAGATGTAGAAAGCCAAATATTGTATGATTTCACTCATATGTGGAAGATAAAACAAGTTGCAAATACATAGATACAAAAAATACATTGGTGGTTACCAGAGGGAAGGGGTTGGGGGGAGGGTGAAAAGGTAAAGGAGCACATTTGTATGGTGATGGATGGCAACTAGACATTTGGTGGTGAACACGATGTAGTCTATACAGAAGTCAAAATACAATGATGTACACCTGAAATTTATATGGTATAAACCAATGTGACCTCAATAAAAAAATATATACATATATAATTATTCTCCTGTTGATGTACATTTGCATTGTTATTAGATTTTTGGTTATTGCATAGAGGGTTTCTAAGATTATTCGTTGTACTGTTTCTAAGAAAAGTATATTTGACTTATTTATTTATTTATTTATTTTGTGAGGAAGATCAGCCCTGAGCTAACATCCATGCTAATCCTCCTTTTTTTGCTGAGGAAGACCGGCTCTGAGCTAACATCTATTGCCAATCCTCCTCCTTTTTTTTCCCCCAAAGCCCCAGCAGATGGTACGTCATAGTTGCACATGCTTCTAGTTGCTGTATGTGAGACTCAGGCCTCAGCATGGCCGGAGAAGCGGTGCGTCGGTGCGCGCCCAGGATCCGAACCGGGGCCGCCAGTAGCGGAGCGAGCGCACTTAACCGCTAAGCCACGGGGCCGGCCCTATATTTGATTTTTCAATAGCCATTCAGGACAGAACAGTCAATTTAGTATTAAAGGGGCTTATAAATTAAGTAGCATATTCTCTAGAAATGTAGAAACAAAGATACTTTTTAATCTTCAAAATCATCAATTGAGAATAAAATGATAAATCATATTTTCAAAGAATAGAGAGCTGACATTTTTTTTGTGTGTGAGGAAGATCAGCCCTGAGCTAACACCCATGTCAATCCTCCTCTTTTTGCTGAGGAAGACTGGCCCGCGGCTAACATCTGTGCCTATCTTCCTCCACTTTATATGGAATGCTGCCACAGCATGGTCTGACAAGCAGTGCATCGGTGCGCGCCGGGGATCCAAACCGGGCCGCCAGCAGCGGAGCACGTGCACTTACCCGCTAAGCCACGGGGCCGGCCCCAAGAGCTGACATTTGAAGAACATAAAAAAAATATTTATTTTCAAAGTATTAAGATAAAGATATGGTATAAGAAGGGAAAGTTACACTTTTACAAATTCTGTACACAGCAAGGGAAGTAAGTATTTTACTCAATAATTTATTTAAAAATTTTTATACATAGTCTACCCTACTCATGACTGTTTCACATCGGGATAAATACTGTTGACATTTTTTAAATCCATAAGTACATATTATTAAGTACCCAGATTTATATTATTTAATGCAAAGTTGAAAGAAAACACCACATATGTAAACCCCAGTGGAATCCAGAGATAAATTTCTAAATATTTACTCGTATTTTAAGAAAAACTAATTTAATCCATATATGTATAATATTAACTATATATATTTTGGATCAAACCTTTTCTACTTCTAAAATACTGTTCAAGTGCAGTATGTTATGGACGACAAGCGGACTTGATAATGATAATTTTTTAAATAATTATGCACTCATAAGCAGAATTCACTGTCAATTTCTAACGAAAATTTGGAAAAATAGTGATAATTTTTAGGGGAGAGGAGAAATTTTCTTTTACATAATGTGAACTAATTTATTTATTAGTCTTTGGGACATGGAACGACATTTTAATGAAATAATTCTTCATTCTGTTTTTGACTTTTTTTTATTCAGAGAATTTTCTCTCTCAATCAGTAAGTTATTTATCATTGACTAAATATCTACTATGGGTCCAAAATTGTGTCAAATGCTAATAGTGAAAACAGGATCCTTGTTTTCAAGTGTTGCAATTTTGCTAGAAACACACATGAAATAATAGCAAACAACATACCCTATATCATACAACATAAGCCAAGAGAAAAGAACATGGATGAGAACTGGTATGATCCAGGGTGAAGTTGTGGAGGAAATCAGTCCCTAGAGGGACGAAAGTGAAACATAAAACACAAGGGAGTTTAGATAAAACCTGTATTTACTATTGTCATTTAGACTTGTTTGCCATGTGGGTGAATATATCGAGACTTGAAAAATGTGAGTTGTTATAGTGCAAAAAAAGGTAATAATAATAATGATTGGTGTCCATGGTAGCACCATTATACAAATCTCCTAATTGTCGTATCTTATTATTTCCCTTTCTACATCACGTAGGTCAGTTTTCCAAGTTATTTTCCAGATGATGCTGTTCACAGAACTAAAATGAGGGGACAAGCAGTAGTTGTCTATAATTTGTTTCAAACTTAATTTTTATAAAACTTTTATTCTTTAGAAATAAAATATTCTTATATACACTCAAGTGGAATATTATTTTCCCTGTATTACGAATGAAGAAATCAATAGAAATTTTAAAGTCAGGGTGTGATTTTTACGTTTTATTAGTATTGATAAGTATTCACTATCAATATGTAGTCTTAAGCCACAAAGTCATTCTCTTTCATGAATCAAAGTTAGGATTGATATTCTATTTGTAAATAGGAAATAAAACAAATCTTCCATACTTCCATAGGAGTTTCTTTTTTAGGTTCCAAAAATAGCTTTGGGTATTGAGGGTAGGCAGAACTAGTCTATGATTCTCGCCAAATTGTTTGTTAATTTTTGTGTGAATGTTTGTATGTGCAGTTTTCTGGAGGAAGGATCCACTGTTTTTATCAGAGTTCCAAAACTTAAGGAATCATAGTTTTATATTTGTAATTCTAAAGGAATTTATATTTAATGTCTCTATAATTTAATGCCTTTACAATTAAAGAAATAATATTTTCAAATTTAAATACCACTCAATGGAATCATCAATTTTTAAAAATCAGAAATAATACTGAAACATTTCATATTCAAAGATTGTTTGATTTCCTCTATTTTTTTTGGTGAGGACAATTAGCCCTGAGCTAACATTCGTTGCCAATCCTCCTGTTTTTGCTGAGGAAGATTGGCCCTGGGCTAACATCCATGCCCATCTTCCTCTACTTTATACGTGGGACGCCTGCCACACCATGGTTTGATAAGCGGTGCGTAGGTCTGCACCTGGGCTCCAAACCTGCTAACCCCAGACTGCCAAAGCGGAGTACGCAAACTTAACCACTATGCCACCAGGCTTTGTTTATTTGCTAGAAAAGAGCCCATTTAAAATGCTATACATCCTTTCTGTGCATATCGATCCACTACTTATGTAACTAAAATGCATCACAATTACCAACAACCATAAGGGAAATTCATTTTACAAATGGTGTGTTGCAGCTGAAGTTCGAAATGCTGCCTGTTTCAAATTTAATATCTTAGTGTCTCTTGCTTACAGGATCTATTCTTCACATAGAGACTTGAGGGTATATTCATTTAGCTTCTCGACTTTTCTGCTGCTGAACACATAAATACCATATGTATTAAACTCTTCTCTTCTATGAACTTAAAACTTACATATCCTTGTAGAAATGTAAAATGACTGAATTTTAATGTGAAAAAGTTAAGGAGACTAAAATAGAACATCTTGTAGGCACTAAATGAAACTTCTTCAGGAAAGTGTTTTACCTTTAGCAGTAATATGGTAAAGTGCATAACAAACAAGAAAACAAAAATATTTATGATAAAAGTTTATTACCATTTCACTAGTATAAAATATGGGCCAATAAGTTGTTGGAAAACTAGGCATCTTTACATCCTAAGTATTATGCATTCATAAATAGGAATAATTAGAAGCCTATGTAGACTGATTTCATTATTTTTAATACTATTTGTTACAATCCCTAAGAACTAACACAAGTGATTTATTGTCGTTGCGCCTTTTTATACTAAATGCACATAAACTAGAAAGAATAGTTTTTGTAAAAAACGTATTTCTTTGCCAATACTTGTAAAAGCAGGCCTCTATTTATCGCCCAAGGTTATTTGATTTAGAGATACAGTTGCGTATTAATGTAGTAAGTTTGAAAAAGGAAGCTGCGATGGAACATATTATTTGCACAATACATTTCCCTCATGACATACCAGCAGTTACTTTGCAGTCCAAGAATATCTGTATAAATTTGTTGTACTGGAAAAGAGATACACATTCAATGTTGCCATAGCACTTGCTTTATAGTGGCTATCCAACAATACAAAATACACAAGGTAAGGATACTATTTCAGCAAGCATAGCAATACTGAACTACTTGCAGAAGTAGAGAAACGTTATGTGTTGTACACTTTAAATGTTTTTGATAGCTATAGTTAAGTTGTCCTCCAGAAAGGTGGTACAAATTGTTGGAGGAGATCATCAAGGGACATGACCGCCAGTTGACCCTCAAGCTGGACCTGGGCAATCAAAGGCTCCTCAGCCCCTCCCCTGTCCCTGGAATGTCCACTCTGTCTACTGTTCCCACAGTGGGAGCTATTCTAAGGACAGAGTCTTGCTAGAATAAGGTGTGGTTGAGACTGTCTAGACAGTATACATGACTGAACCCAGTTAAAACCTCTATATAAACTTTTAAGATATGGTGGGTGGGTAAAGAGATCTAATTTTCTTGTGGCCACCCAAGATAAGCCTCGTAAGAAAGTTCCCTTGCTTATAGATACTGCCACTTACCAATCTGGAGTGGTCTGTCTCTTTCTTTGGTCTCTCCCTGCCCTCCACATACAGGGCCAGTTTGAGAACCAACAATTCACACACCAGCCAGGAGACTGAAGAAATGGGTCTTGGGAAAGAGTCATCCATGGGGAAAATCCTGAGTTGGCTATGGATCTCTATGTGGGGAGGGGTGGCCTGTATGTTAGATGCTTGTGGAGCGCTGCATGAGTATGAGGACACCCTGACAATGTCACTTGGTGTAGTGTGCTTGTTTGAAGAATTGTGCATAGTGTACTGTGGCAAAGAAGGCAAACAAATGGCTGCTGCAGTTGTCTGGCTTCTACTGTGGCTGGCCACCGATGTCCAACTAGAGGCTGAAGTTTGAACTAGTGAGTAGGAAGAAGAGCTGAGATTAGAAGAGGATGTGCAGTTGTCCAGTACTCTGCTGGCTTTGGGGCTGGCAGACAAGGTGGGAAAGCAGGATAACAAGTTGGAGACCTTGACACGCCATTTCGCAAAGCTAGGAGGGCACAAGCTGCTGCAGACTAAGATCCTGATTACCACTCTAAGAGGCAGAATCCCTAGGAAAGTGAGGAGAGCAAAGGGGAGGATGTTGTGGTGATTGACAATGAATCAGATGGAGTGGCCCATGCCATCCAACCCCCAATACAAAGAAAATGTTAAGTAGCAATTACCCCAGACTTCTGATAACAGAGAAATATACCCAAAACTCCTAGGAGAAAATTTGCATTCTTCCCCTGTCCATTAAAGTTGTAAATCTTACCATGCCTTTGAAATGTAAATACACCAGGAGAGAACTACAACACTGCCAACAGAGACTGAAGAAAAAAAGAAGGGGAAAAGATACATTTTATAATACAGATTGCTAAAGAAGCTCCCTTGCCCAAAATCTAGTTCACAGCCTCCATAAAATTATTTGCCAAGGGCAAATACAAATCTTAAGGCTTCTCCACAAATATTAGTAAAAAGCTTTAGGCATGTTAGTGGGTAACCTTAACTTGTTCATCTGCCAGAGACACATTTGGAGTCAAGTGTTCAAC